AAAAAGAAGCATGTGAAATCCGAGTTTATTTAATATGAAATTGGAAGATCTTCAATATACCGGGATTATCATCACTATGCTGATTTTACTAGTCTATGGCATACGATCTATGTAGCCCAAGCTGGTATAATTTGTGTTTCCTCAATTACTCCATTAATAGTATCAACAATTGTCATTGATATCATAATCACTACTGAGATTCCATAATTTGCCGCAAAATTCCTATTGAATGATACACTGTGTAACAATGGGATCAATTCAAACCTTCTTTATGCGCTATGATGCTCTGTATTCCAAACACCACTTAACGATGCTCAGTAACTACGACTCGTCTCTGAAGAGAATCTATAAGAGTTGTAAAACCATGAATTTGGGCAGCTGTTTTTTTTACCTATTTTGAAATCAGCGAGTTCACTTGTGGCATAGAAAAGACGTCAAAACAAAGGTATTTCCGTGTGATGATCTCTTTATCGTGTACAATTCAATCGAAATAATAACCCAGAATGTTGAAATGCTCGAACTCAAAGACACTCTCAAACTTCCTTGGCAATGAAGTACGCTCTACTCAACATTCGATGGATATCTGCAGCTTGCTTAGGATAGTACAGAAGTCTCATCATGTTTTGTCAGTAATAAGTTATCTGAAATATTCGAGAACATTTGTCAGCAACGCCGGATATTACACTCTTCCAAAACGTACATAGATGGAATCAGTGGGACTTTTAGATGTCTAAATGGAACATTACAGCTGTTGTAGAAACAATAATAACATTTCGTATGAGTAATATTTAGCAGGAATGTTCTACAGTACGACGAGTGGAAATAAAAACAAAGTGATTCATATGTATTACAAATTTTCGTCGACACGACAAACAAAAACCCATCGGTTATTTTATACATTTCCGCCATTTTGTATAGCTTGAGAAGAGTGGTAAGAAAAGAAGAGCATCAAACGTTGTTTAGGACTGCTGAATCGTTTGTACTTCGTGTAGATGATGTCAATAAAAATCGTCAATCGTTTGCTGAACAAAGAGTCTTTCATTTCTTTTTGCCTTATGGCTTTTGCAATAGACAATTCTATTACCTAGAGCAATTTATATTTGCTTGATATGCTTCAGCTTGGGCTTCAGTTCGCTTTTCATAACAGCACATTTCTTAGGCAATCACGAAACGATCATTCTCAATTGCCTCAAAAATTTCCTTTTCGTTCACTTAGTTTGTTAAATGAACATCAAATTTCCTTTTTATCTTCTCTCCTCCTAAACTATGAAGGTTCAGAGCAATAAAAGATGACAAATCCTAGGAATAAGATATGCTCTACCACAGAGGTACGGCATAGGATACCGACAAAAAATTTTCCGCCGTAAAATTTAATATAGGTATATCCCTTCATTATTCATTAATCCATTTCAAAATCCCAAAAAAAGTCTTTTTTCCACTCCAGAATAAAATTCCCTATACAAGGGCTAGGCTCCGAATTGTGCGTTTATATGTTAATGCTCCTTCGTTTATTGATTTGGATGCAATAGTGATACTGTAATCGCGCATTTATATAACCGAGCATTGCGGATTTAATGCAAATTCTCTAATGGTAAGAAAATAATGAGTATAACCTCAAAAAAAAAACGTTTTAACGTTCTAAATAATCTAATCTAGGCTATGATTTGCACTGCACATATTTATCGTTTTATTACGCGTTATTACCCGTATAATTAGTGAGCATCTTGTTCATACAGAAAGACTAACTTCTTTTCATTGTCATGAATTTTTAACGCACAAATATTGGTCAGTGCCGCTAGAGCTACACACAACATAAAGCGTACAACAAAACGTTCTCTGTTCTGTCGAAGTAGCATAAAAGGATTTCTTGCATGTTTCGCATCTTTTCCACTTCCTTGCCTCTTGTGCAAGAGGCGATCAGTAAAAAAGCGAAAGGATTCTGTAATAGCATGCATAGGTTTATCAGACATCCTTATAAATTAGGGTTATCGTCTATTCGTAGCTGGACGGTAAAATTAGCAAGGCCAATTTGTCGCGTTTGTGAATTCATTTATAACTTGAGTATTTGAATACCCTCTAGCCTATTTTAAAGGTCGAAAGTAGATGATAATCATCAAACACGTAAAAACATTTTGTCGAGAGAGTCTTTTTGAAGTGAATCTGTGTGCAGGAAAAACTTCAATCGACTGACGATAGCCCCACGGAGGGATTTCGAGATGCGCAGAGCCGCGTTATCCGCGCGTGGATCACACTTTTCTGATAGCCTAAATTGCTCCATTTTCAAATTTTCAAATTTATGATTTAACAGGATGCGATTGAACAGCGTTAAATTCCAGCAGCTAGTCTTCCGACTCCTTAATTTAATTTTCAATGCGCTGATCATAGAGCGTTTAGTATAAGAGTGCCACTAATTGGCTCGGAGCCCGTATGGGGTTAATTCAGCAACCTAATGACCTCTTGTAGTTAGTTACTCTCAAAGAGCCTATCTTGCAGCTGTAGTCGTAGCCTTAGGAGAAGCCTACAAAGAATGTAGACTAAAGTCAGCAAAGAATACCTCAGCGTGACTAACTTTTCTGTGCATGAAAAGCAAGCAGCGTGAAGGACTTGGATTCTCTATGAATTTATATTAGCAAACGGGCAAGATGAGAGGTGATTCGCAGTTTAATGCTAATAGAGCTTTTGAAGAGGTTGTTTAACCTTAGGGTGAGATGACTGAAACTTTTTAGAAATAGTCGTATAAATACATTTATAAATGGAATGCTGCAGGATATCAGTCAGTCTCTTATCAGTCCATACGTAAAAAATTGTTAAAAGATAGGGCAAAATTCCAAAGTTACATGGTGATGACAATACAACAAGTACTAGATAGAAAATTACTTCCGAGACCATCGTTACGTTTGTTTAAACTGGTTTCACGAAACCGAGACATGCGTCTTTCCTATTGTGTCTTCAGTTGCGCCTTGTTCGTATAGTTTTCCACGATTTGATCGTTAATGTTGCAGTGTTACATCATGTATTACGTAGTCCACTGTGCCAAACACACTGTAAGATAT